TGAATCATGTCATCTGGACTTCGTTTTTTTTGTTAAAAAGAAACGAAGTCCAGATGACATGATTCAACCTTTTTTGTTGTTATATACCTGGATGACTGAGAAAACAAACTTTGTGTTTTTGAAACCATTAGTGAAAAGGCCAGACTTCAGGGGTATCTGAGGCAGGCTTGAAACACAAGAGTCAGGGTGGCTTCTGGGTAATACCAGATGGCTAGGCCTCAGACTGACGAAGCCTCTTGGATGAGGGGCGAAACGTTTCTTTTTAACAAAAAAACGAAGTCCAGATGACATGATTCAACCTTTTTTGTTGTTATATACCTGGATGACTGAGAAAACAAACTTTGTGTTTTTGAAATCATCTGCTTACAGACTTTTCATTTAGCCAATAAACAGATCCAATACAAAGACTTAACAGACCAATGCAATTAGATTTAATTAAAAAACTGCATTGGTACACAGCTGCTCTATTGAAACATTGTGTACATGTGTACATCATTTATCTTCACCTCTCTAATACACAAACAAACAGCGCTTTTGGTACAAAAAGTTAAGTTTGTTTTTATTTAAGGCCTTGTCAGGCTGCTGTTCATACCATATTCCATCCATCCATCCATTATCTTTACCCGCTTATTCCATTTTGGGTCATGGGGGTCGCTGGTGCCCATGTCCAGCAATCACTGTGCGAGGGGCGGGGTACACCCTGAATGGGTCGCAAGTCCATCACAGGGCCACATAGAGACAAACGAGACAAACGACCATTCACTCTCTCACTCACACCTAGGGACAATTTAGAGTTACCAATCAGCCTAACATGCATGTTTTTGGTCTGTGGGAGGAAACCGGAGCACCCGGAGAAAACCCACGCATGCACAGAGAACATGCAAACTCCACCCAGAAAGGCCTCTGGACCGGGGTTCAAACCAAGGACCTGCTTGCTGAGAGGCAGCAGCTCTACCAGTTGCGCCACCGTGCTGCTCCTCATACCATATTATTTTACATTATTAATGTTTAGTGTATATCTTAGCTCTTTAGCATATCGTTCAGCGTTCGTTTAGTGTTTATCTTAGTCTGTATCTTAGATTCTTATATATTGTTTCTTTTTATACTTTTGCTATTTTTGGGTGTAACTGGGACCTTGATCAGCCTATACAATTTAGTTCCACCTCATGTACCACATGTGATGCAAATGACAATAAAGAATTCAGAAAATGAACTTGTCCAAATTGTAACAACTCTAGTTTTGGTAGATCCATGTGAAGCAAATATAAAAAAATGAAGAAACCGTGACATAGTGGTAATGGACTCAGGACCTGTCGAGGGCGTACCTCCCCTCTCGAATAGTTACCGCTGGTATGGAGACAGGTACCAGCTCCCCACATCCCGAAACAGAAATGTGGGTAACGAAAGAGGATGAGTCAATTATTATACAGTAGTCCCTTGTTTATCAAGGGGGATCCATACCCTGAAGACCTGTGATAAGTGAAAAACTGCGAAGTAGGAATTGTAGTACACGTTGTAAGTAGTAGTTTATTTTAGTATGTGTGTGTGTGTGTGTGTGTGTGTGTGTGTGTGTGTGTGTGTGTAAAGGCGTTTTAAACACTTTCCACGCTCTTGCAATATTCTAAACAATGTTTCTAAACTCTAAACACTCTAAAAGAGCACAGAATGTCATGATTTCAGCTCCCTGCTTCATCTGCTCTTTGCCACCTGCAAGCGCTCTTGGACATGCCTACTTCTCCGTTCTGCACAGAGAACAGCTGATCAGCTGCAGCAGGAAGCTTATCCTGCAGAGTGGGCTGCACAAATGTGCAGCAGGTGCTAAATAATTTTAATTAATTTATTTTAAATAAAAATTCCTTGCCGATCATGCAGCTCATCCATCAATCAGCCAGTTGTATGTTATCCATCCATCCATTTTCTTTACCCGTTTATTCCATTTTGGGTCACGGGGGTCGCTGGTGCCCATGTCCAGCAATCACTGTGCGAGGGGCGGGGTACACCCTGGACGGGTCGCAAGTCCATCACAGGGCCACATAGAGACAAACGAGACAAACAACCATTCACTCTCTCACTCACACCTAAGGACAATTTAGAGTTACCAATCAGCCTAACATGCATGTTTTTGGACTGTGGGAGGAAACCGGAGTACCCGGAGAAAACCCACGCATGCACGGAGAGAACATGCAAACTCCACCCAGAAAGGCCCCTGGACCGGGGTTTGAACCAGGGACCTGCTCGCTGAGAGGCAGCAGCTCTACCAGTTGCGCCACCGTGCTGCCCAGTTGTATGTTATGTCCAATCTTATTTTGAAAAGCTCCGATAGAGCGAGTCCGCGATTAATGAACCACAAAATAGCGTAGGACTACTGTATATCAATCTATCAATAATCCAATCCATCTATTACAATATATCCTTAGGTTAAATCCAGGAGGCATGTGGAGTAAAAATAATTAAAACAAACACATTGTAAATTACAAATAGTTGTTTGGTGCAATTTCTAAAGTTGAACTAAATTTCATTTCCCACTGTAACCTTTTAATTTTACTGGATTTATTTTGAGTTTTCAAACTGCTGGGAGACCTGACTGCTTCAGAAAAGAAACCCAAACTATGATCGTACCTTCTTTAAAACAGATATGTTATAAAATAATTTATGACATGCCATAATAAAGAAAAACTACAGGCTAGTGGGATACACATTCACATATTCCCACTTCTACCACATGTATTTGTAAAATAGCAACATACAGATGAATTCAATTTCTTCAGCTCTTTGCATATTTTTTGTCTTTGCTACAGTTTCACTGAAGACAGCTATTAATATATAACAATCAAGACAGTCCTTAGAATTTTTTTTAACAACACCATCAATTTCCCAAATTCAATAAAGATGATACCAGTAAGTGTCCATAAAACAGTGGAAAAATATTGTTTTGCCACAGTTTAGCAACATTCTTTCCATAACATCAATATGAAAACATTTTATTTTTTCTCAGAACTTTATGGACATGCTTTGACTTGAGCCCACATGTCCTTAATCATACGTCTGTGACTTAGCTCTGAAGCCCACCCCCGGACTCATAGAAACCCAGTTATTTTTCCTGGCACCAGCGCAATCAAAGTGTCTCTGAAGAGTCTGTGATATGTTTGGAGCACACACAAAGAGCAAAATGCACATTATTCACAACTGCAATGGTGAAAATCAGACTCTAGAGCATGAACTGGTGTGCAGGTATGGTACAGCCTTGTTAGCATAGTATGGTGAGGGACTGAGTACCTGCAGAGGACCTGCCTCAGACACTGTTGGGATTGTAGCACAACATGTTGAGCTGCAGGTTTTCATCCCAGTGTCTGAGGATGATGAAGAGCTGATTGGCAGCAGACTTGATGGATGCTAAATCTTTCCCTTCTGGGATTTCCTGTGCGCTCAGCCACATGCTGGCTTTGGCAGCCACCAGTTCCCACTCAATGAAATAGCTGGCTGAGCTGTGCTCCAGCCAGGCAAGGGCCACAGCTGTTGCCCACACCATGCTCTCTGGATCCATTATCCTCTTCAACACGGCGCCTGGCGATGTTTCCAAGGCCCCTGACCTTGAAACCCATGCTGTGTCCACCTGGGGAGGTGGGGGATCAACAGCTGAAGGCTTACTGGGTATAAAGGAGGAACAAGTGTCTGACCGGACGTTCCTTGATGAAAGCAAGGAACTTTGGATGCCAACTTCCTGCTCTGCAGCCGGCTGATACATCTCTGGCTCAAACGGCGGTCTGTACCTGTCATTGGTGCTGTCAGGGTGGCGGGCGCTGGAGTGGGACAGGTGGCCCAGGCTTGTGCGGTGGCTGACAAATGGAGACGTCCACTTCAGCTTGTCCATTGGCACATTAATGGCTTCACACAGATCTGAGTCCAGGGCAAATGCACCACAAGCTAGCTGCAGCAACACCTGTGCAGAGGGCAACATGTTAGTTAAGGCTGAAAAACAGCTGTTTTTTATTTTATATTCTTTCAATGTCCTTTTATTAATCATCAGTATTGGGAAACTTGTAAACAAGGGGCATTGCATTAGAATTGTAAAGCAGTTTTCTGGTTGGCAGTTTGTGTTTGCTTTCAGAATAACCGAAGAAGTGAGAGTGAACCTGAGCATGTTGTTCATCTGCACCGCACTGCATTTTTTAAACCAGTGATTATTTGCTGTCCGAACCAGCATCTCGTTACGAGCTGCTTGGCAAAAGATTCCTTCTTGTTATGGAAGATGTCAATTTGCGATGGACAGGTATTTTATACTTTTGTTCCGAACCTGTTCACAGGTGAAAGATATTTTCTTTCCATAGACATTGAACAGAAGAGAAGCTGCTATGTGCAACATAATTAGTCTTTGTCAAGGTCTTGGTTGAAGAGGTTTCCATAATGTTAAACATTAATACACTTTCATTCTACACAGTTTTATTAACATTCTTTCTTTCAATGTAACTAAAAACAACCTTTATGTTTAACTTGTTCTCATACACTTAAAGCCAATTACTTTTGTGCAACTGATGGAGGCTGAGTGGCAGGAAAATGGTTGGAATCTCGCTAAATTTGAGTGAACAGCAAGCTATGTGGCCATATTTTACCCAGCCAATTTCTGAAAATCACTGATTGTGTTTCTATGCATGGCTTGTAAAACAGTATTCTACGTTCTGCATTTTGTTGCCCACTTCCACGTGCATCTTAGCCACTTCATCCTGCCTTGTACCCATCTTCACATTCACCACCACTGTCCAAAAATGTATTTAACTCCATCACAGAACTCTCATCTTGAGCAAGCACGAAGACAACAGTGGAAATGAAAAACTCCCTCATGAGGAAGAAACCTTTAGCAGAACCAGACTCAGGACAAGTGGCCATCTGCTTCGACCGGCTGGGTTTGGTAGGAACAGATACGCAGGTCAAGAATCACATGTTGAGATAGAAATAGTATCAAATGAAAACTATTCAATTTTAACAATTCATTTAAAGAAATGAGGTGAGGGAGTGCCCTGTGATGGACTTGCGACCTGTCCAGGGTGTACCCCGCCCCTTGCACAGTGATTGCTGGACATGGGCACCAGCGACCCCCGTGACCCAAAATGGAATAAGCGGGTAAAGATAATGGATGGATGGATGGATGGATGGAGGTGAGGGAGTGTGGGCACAGAGGCTAAAGAAGGTGGGCCTGCAATCGGAAGATCACTGGTTCAACTCAAGGTTTTGTTTTTTGGGAAACAAGAAAACATCAACAAAAACATAAAACACAGAATCAGTGACAACTGGAGCTAATACACCGTGAAGGGATTACAAAATATATGTGGATTCTTCACTGAAGTTTCTTTGATTAGGCTTTTTTTTGTGTGCAACAATTTAGTGAGATGAAAGAGGGTGTTTTTAAGAGTCTTCAAGTGGTAAAGAAATTATGTGAGACTAAAATGGTCAGTTGTATTGAGGCCAGTGTGAGCAGATCAGGTAATGTAGCCTTGGTTACATCATGAGAGGCGTCCACGGTTTCTAAACTGACCTTTTCATGATAGTCCAAAACTATAGAACTTGGTTTTCTGCCATGAACTAGGGACTGTGTTTGTCCCGTAGATTGAATTTTATTCTTCTTGTGTTTATTGTTATTAAATCATGGCAGTACATATTTTCTTGTTTTCATTGTGTCTCAGTTTACTTAGGCATTGGGTCTCAGCTCTTCTGGTTTCTCAGAACCTTTTAGGGGCCATTCACACAGAAAATACATTTCAGGAGCCCTGAAATGGTATTTTGACAGACATATTTACAGTTTGTACACATCCTGTGACACACCCTCTTTCTCTAAATCCAGCAGCAGAATGTTTTGTTTTCTTCTTGCTGGACTTAGCAACACTGATGCTCTCTGGTGTAGCTATAATTTACATAAATGAGCATAAACATGGAAAGATTATCCAATAAATGCTAGTGAGCAAAGATCTTTGTAAATATTCTTGTAAGTTTCTAAAATTTAATCGAGAAATGTTACTGTGATCCAAGAAAAAATGTCTAGGGATGTCAATGGCATCATGTTTAGGGGGATATTTTCAGAAACAAAACAAAATTAAAGCTGTAAGCAGAATTTGGAAGCCGTCCCAGCAAAGCGTCGCTTCGGCCTTACGGCGACCACAGGAGCTCCAGCTAGTCCACTCAGTCACCATCGCGAACGCTCTCGTGCCAATCCCGCACACGTTCGCCATGGGACGCATTTTCCAAATCTTCAACATCACCTTCCGTCCATGTCAGTACTTGTCCAGCTTCAGGTCTTACAAGTATAGGCGAAATACGACCTTCCAGACAGGAGTTAATGTGACTTGCTGTTTTGTGGCGAATGTTTGACGAGCATTTCCTTTAACATGTCATGTGTGGTAATCAACAGTTAGCAAACAAAGTTTCAGCCTAATATCTTACAAAGGGCGAAGCTTTAAGAGTCATCCAATAATCAACAGTTTTTTTCTCTGAGTAGGTGTGGCTTAAGTAATGTCATGAATCAACAATACCAATTTGTCAACAAGTGCTCACTGATGAAACACAAAAAATCAGGTCCAGATCAGATGATGTATCACTAAGATATAACTGTTGGATTAATGTAGGGGGCACACTGGAGTGTAGTGTTAAACAACAATACTGATGTGTGTAAAAGTGCTTACTGATTACGTACAATAAATCTGGTACAGATTGGATAATGTATCACTGAGATATAACTGTTGGAACAATCTAGGGGGCGCACTTGAGTCATATGTTAAACCACAACATCAATGTGTCTAGACATGCTCACTGATGACGCACAATAAATCTGGTTCATATTGGATGATGTATCACTGAGATATAACTGTAGGAATAATATAGGTGGCGCTGTGGAGGCTATTGGCCACTTATCATGGATTTTTGTTCAAAGGGTGAATACTGATTTTGGTGCACCTCGGTTCAAATCTGTGCAATTTATAGCCAAAAGTATTGCAATGGCGTCACTTCTGAATTTGTCACGCCGCCCCACCCACATCCTCCTTGGAAAACTGTTTGTAATTTAAAGTAAGTCAGACCAACTTGTTATGTCTTCAAACACAGGATCATCCTGATTAGGTCACGGGTGTCGGAGAGGGAGCATTCCAAGTAAAAAAAAGTGACTTCCTGTCTTGAGGGGGTGGGGCTTTGATGACATCAGAATATGACCACACAGGATCGTCGGGCATCCAACAGGGATGAGTCATGCCAAGTTTGGTGCATTTCGGTCTTTCAATGTGAAAGTTATAGCGTTTGGAAATTTATGGTGTGAAGCGTAACTTTGAGGCCTGGCCACGCCCCTTTAACATATACAAAAATGATAACTTTTACTCCCCAATGTGTTAAGGGCATATTAACCAAGTTTGAAGGCAATCCTTTAAAATCCCTAGGAGGAGTTTGTTAAAATTCGCAATTAGAAACCCCCAAAAATGACCCTTTGACCCAAAATGGCCGACTTCCTGTTGGTTTTGGACCAGGGCTCCAAGAGACTTTTTCATAGTTCCTGAGAAGATACAGATGTTCACCAAGTTTCAGAATTATCGGTCAAAAAATGGCTTGGGGCTGAGGTTTTTTAATTTTCTAGGGTGCGCTGTGGAGGCTATTTTCCACTTATCATGACTTCCTGTTCAAGGGGTGGATAATGATTGATCATACTGATTTTGGTGCACCTCGGTTCAAATCTGTGGAATTTTGAGCCAAACGTATGGCGACGGCATTACGTCTTACTTCGCCACGTCGTGACGCCCACATGCTCCACCCAAAACTGTCAGTGTTGGAAAGCTAGTTACACCAACATGTCTTTGGTCACTGGACACACTATTATGTTGATTAGGTAACAGGGGTCAGATGGGACCGTTCAACGTAAAACTTTACACTTCCTGTTGTCAGGGTGCGTGGCTTAAGTGATGTCATGATTTGACCATTCAGTCTTACAGGGGACCGGATGTGGATCAATCACTGAAGGTTTGATGTCTCAGACAGTTTTTGTGTAGGAGCTATTAGCATTTTGTTCTATTTCGTATAGGCTTCTCCCTTTAAGACTGTTGCTAGTGGGTTTTATCCCTAAGGCGCTCAGCGCTGCATTGAAAACATTAGTCCACGCCCACCTGCTGTGTGGGCCTCTCCCCCAGTCCGTATAAATTATGGTGAGACCGGGAATCGTCTCCCCATTTTTTCTTCAGCCAACTAGCTAGCACTGTCAGAAGAACGAAGAAGGAAAGTTGTCCAGCTTTGACTGGCACAACCTTTGCTAAGGCTGCCTGGGTCTCCACCACGTCAACCTCCTGCTATCCCGGTGAGTTCTTCCTCCCTGAAGAGAGGCAGACGAGCAGCCTTTGCTCAAGGTAAGCGCCGAGGAGTACTTTTCCGTGGCGGGCCGCTACCCGATGGACGACACTATCACCTTTTCTAACGTTTTTTTCCTCGCTGTAATCGAATCATTTCCTCGAAAAAGGCGATGTTAGCAGCAGCCCCGCCAAATGTTTTTCCGTGGGGGGCCGCTACTCGCTGGACGACGCCACCGCCTTTTCTAAAATGTTTTATTTTCTTGAGGTAAATCGGATGATTTCCTCGAAAAAGGCGATGTTAGCAGCAGCCCCGCCGAATGTTTTTCCGTGGGGGGTGGCTACTCGCTGGACGACGCCACCGCCTTTTCTAAAATGTTTTATTTTCTTGAGGTAAATCGGATGATTTCATCGAAAAAGGGCGATGTTGGCAGCAGCTCCTCTGAATGGTTTTTTTTTCTGTGGCGGGACGCTATGCGCGGGACGATGCCACCACCTTCCTTGACGCAGAGTTATGCTGTAAACTGGATGACTTCTCCGAGAAGGCGATGCGGAGCTGCCCCTTCCCTCCTGGAAAGCGTAGTGATGGAAGACGTGTGGCCGAGCGAATGCTCAGCCACCTCGGATCTTC